ATGCACGCGTCGTGTGTGTTTTCACTAACCGCCTGATGGTAATTGCCGGGTATGTGTTTTTTTTTTTTCTTTCTTTTTTTTTTTTTTTTTGCTCGAGAAAAATAAGATTTCGTTATAAAGAGATGCGTTCAAAAGTAATCACTGAAGACTAATATAACAGAGCTCTTTCAAGTCATTGCTGCTATATTACTATCTATGAGACAATCGTTATTGTGTAATGCTGTTTAAAATAATTTGCATTTATATACTTCTCTAGTTTGTTAAAACCTAGTATTTTATAAACCGCGTAATGAATATGATTTAAGATCCGCCCAATAGAGGACAAGATGTGTTTGTTCATTAGTAGCAGACGCCACGTGATATGAAGTATAAAGTCTTCAGGACGTTAAAAAAGGAAACGTTGACAAAATAATACACAAGACCATCGATTTGTCCTGAGAAATGGAGAAATCAATCGATTTTTAATATTAACCGTTTCAATATTTTGATTAACAGGGTGTATGATTATCTCTGTTGTCACAAATATCTTAAGTTTATAGATGTTAAATTTTTTGGAGTGATAACCAAACAAAAAAGCACAGTAAGTGGACAAACGCAGTGCCGGTACAACTAGCAGGGGACACAGAATTTGAAAATAATCACATATTAAGCAAGACTTTTGATTTGAAAAATCAATAATACCAGGAGTAATTTTGTCAATTCATTGATGAGGCAATCTATACCGCAGCGTGCACGACGTACATGTATGCGCATGCGTGGTTGGTGTGTACCAAAGGATCAATTATATCCTTAGTTATTACCCACGCTCTTTACTTAATACCCAGCGAAGCAAGATAAATGTTTTTTTTTTAAAGCTCATGTATGTGCACGAGATATTAGCAACTGCAGAAAGTTTGGAAAAACTGCTTCTCGGGGGGTACAGCAAAATTATGCACCGAAAACTGGGAACACCAATTAAAAAGTGTGGGAATCGATACGATAAATAGTGCAACACATATCGTTTTTGTAACCATGCATCTATATATTGAAGAGAAAAAATGCATCATAAAACTGCAGGATATCCTACTCGATAGTGGATAGTGTAAAGATAGCGTTGTTACCGACACCGTCTGTTATAATTGTTCAGAAAGTTAAAATCGGACACAGCAGACAAAATAATACACGTGATCATCGATTTGTCCTGAGAACATGGAGAATTCAATGGATTTCCAATGTTAAGTACTATATAAATATTTGGATTACCAAGGGTGTATATTGATGAAGTAAAAAATCATTATAGGTTATTGGGAGATTTAATCAGTCTTATTTACGTTACGTATCACAGCATATTTACATTCGATCTTTTCTCACAGATAATCAAATACACAAGTGATTAAATAGAAAAATAAATATAAGAAAAGACACTGACTACACTATAACCAAGTTTCATAGTAGTAAATTTGGGAAAGTACATTTGTAAAGATGCTAAGGTTTTCTCTTATAAATAGTCAATAATGAAAGGTGTATTTGATTTGTCAATTTCATGGGCAAAACCGACGAAGCAGTCTACACTGTGGAAAGCGTCATGAGATCATGTGTGTGTGTGTGTGTGTTGGTTATCAAAGCACTTTACTGCAAAATGATGTTGATTTTTATAATGGCATGTATGTGTACGAATCTCGTTTAATTGAACGAAATGCAGAAAACATAACTACCCAGGGATACGGCAATAGTGCACACTGTGGGCACCTATTCAATAAATATTCATGTACATGTCGTTTTCCAAGCGTCTCTTCTATTTTGAAGTGACATCGAGAAAACAACATCATAACACCTGAACTGGAAACCCTACTCTGGTTTTATTAGCGTATACTGTAGATAGCGTAACCTGACATGTTAAGATGACCTCTTGGAACATCATGGAATCAACAAAGGACAAAGACCGCAGAGAAATTAATGTCCTCGTCTACTGTCATTTATATACAGCATATCTTCTTTTGACATCAAATAAATTACCCCCCCCCCCTTCAACTTTTTTTAGTCACGTCAGTCATAAGCGTAGGTACAATGTAGATGGCGGTGGAGGGGGGAGGAGAACCTGCATGTACATGTACATGTATATACATTAGACTCTATACATCTTAATAATAGGAGACACTAAAAAACATTTAATTNATGAAGTAAAAAATCATTATAGGTTATTGGGAGATTTAATCAGTCTTATTTACGTTACGTATCACAGCATATTTACATTCGATCTTTTCTCACAGATAATCAAATACACAAGTGATTAAATAGAAAAATAAATATAAGAAAAGACACTGACTACACTATAACCAAGTTTCATAGTAGTAAATTTGGGAAAATACATTTGTAAAGATGCTAAGGTTTTCTCTTATAAATAGTCAATAATGAAAGGTGTATTTGATTTGTCAATTTCATGGGCAAAACCGACGAAGCAGTCTACACTGTGGAAAGCGTCATGAGATCATGTGTGTGTGTGTGTGTGTTGGTTATCAAAGCACTTTACTGCAAAATGATGTTGATTTTTATAATGGCATGTATGTGTACGAATCTCGTTTAATTGAACGAAATGCAGAAAACATAACTACCCAGGGGTACGACAATAGTGCACACTGTGGGCACCTATTCAATAAATATTCATGTACATGTCGTTTTCCAAGCGTCTCTTTTATTTTGAAGTGACATCGAGAAAACAACATCATAACACCTGAACTGGAAACCCTACTCTGGTTTTGATAGCGTATACTGTAGATAGCGTAACCTGACATGTTAAGATGACCTCTTGGAACATCATGGAATCAACAAAGGACAAAGACCGCAGAGAAATTAATGTCCTCGTCTACTGTCATTTATATACAGCATATCTTTTGACATCAAATAACCCCCCCCCCCTTCAACTTTTTTTTAGTCACGTCAGTCATAAGCGTAGGTACAATGTAGATGGGGGTGGGGGGAGGAGAATCTGCATGTACATGTATATACATTAGACTCTATACCTCTTAATAATAGGAGACACTAAAAAACATTAAATTATGAATCCTTTAAAATCGACCTTCCACATGCACCCCTCCCTCTCACGGGTAAGGGGGTGCCTGGCCCCTCCCCTTCAGCTTCTAAAAAAATAATCAGGTCATCATTGTTATCATAAGCTTCGTGAATCAGAGTTTTGATGCCTTTTAATGGAAATTTAGACGATTAAATAGTGTGTAACATAGACAAAAGACATGGGTAAAAGTGGCGTCCACCTCTCGCGAGA